ACTCTGAGAGACAAGTTTGCAGCCACTTTGGAAATCAGTACGGCAGTTTCTAAGAAAATTGGCTATCAATCTACCTCAAGACCCGGTGATACCACTCTTGGGCATATACTCAAAGGATGCTTAATCACACCCCAAGGACCTGAGAGATCAACAATGTTCATAGTAGGAGGGTTGGGAGGGAGAATTGTGGTTGGGATGTAAAATAAAATTAAAATAAACAAATAAATCTTCTTTGACCCTCGAGCTCAAATGTCACCACGTCACCATTGTCAACGCAAAGCCCCACACCACACACCTTCCTCTTTGCTCTGCTTTCAGTGTCTTTGGCCATACATTCTACCTTTGCCCTGTGCGCAACAGAGTTTACTAGTTGGTGTGTTTATTTTTCGTTTTCCATCTTGCTCTGCCAGAATATGAGCTTCACATGTCTGGGGATATTCTTTGCCTTGCTGTATCCCCAGCACCTGAATACATGTTTGTTGAATGAGAGAATGCATTACAGGGAGTCCCACCGGTGGGGTCATGCACACAAAGCTTCTCAAATCCACAGCCCTCCCACCTTCTTGGCTTCCTTGTCCTCTGCTGTCTGTGAGAACATATGATTTCCACCAGCCAGTTCGTTTGCCAGACTCCCAAGGTCCTGCACACACCAGAGTCCGAGGGCCCCCAGAGTGGGACATATGAAGAGCCTCTGGGACCCTGGCCATGACCAGGACCATGTCTGTGCCCAGCTCCAATACCACAGTCCCTCCAGATCTTTACCTGGCGGCAGGCAATCTCAGGCTTTCTGGGAAACAAAGTTGGCAGGGAAGGGAGCAGGATACTTGGGTTGGGAAAGAAAAACCTAAGGACAGAGACTGGACCTAGGGCTGGCCCTGTGCCACCTGACTCATCCATGTTTTTATCCTCTGGTCCTTCAGACCCCTATATGCAAACCTACAATGCAGCCTACACTATTAAAGTGTGGAGGCCACAGGTCCTGCCTGGGTAGGTCAGAGGTGACTGAGGCTTGGGGCAGGTGCTGGCTAGATCTGGTTTCTAGAGGATATAGGCTGCCTCTTCCCCTGGTGCAACACCTTAGAAGCCTAGCCAGACCAACATTCCTGCCCAGAAGCCAGCTCTCCATTTATAGCCCCTGGGTAGATCAACTAAGGGGACTGAGCAGCAAGGCCTGAAAAGGACAGAGGGAAAATCGCAGGAGCCTCCTTCAGTGACAGGAGAATGAAGGCCTCGGGTGAGCTGTGTGCTTCTCCAGGTCACTTGGCCTGTATCCAAAAGGCTCTGCATTGAAGGGACAATGCCTCAGCCCATAGTTATGGCATTCCTCCAGAATGGGTGGCGTGGGGGGAAGTTTGGATGACCATAAACCAAAGGCAAAGTTGTAATTGCTTAGTCTCAGCACAAAATTCATTTCTATATTTTCTTTTCTTGCTCAGGTTTGAGAACAATGACTGTAGTGGCGTTTCTTTCCACCGGTGGACTTGAGGTGGTGGCCGTATTCTCCCAACTGGATATGGACCAGATTTGGGGACCAGAATGGGACCTTTACCTCCTGACCATCATTGTACTGCTGTTGGCTACAGTCATAGCGTACAGGCAGAAACAGCACCAGGATGTGCCAGTACCCAGGCCCCCAGCGCCATGGTCAGCTCCTCCCCAGCTCTGATGGTCCTTCCAGCTGGGGAGGAGCTGACCCATCAGAGCAGCAGCTGCCACAAATAGCAGTCACACACCCGGCTGGGTTCATGACCACTAGGGAGCTGCTTTCTGAGAACACTTGCCTTTGATGTAGGGCTCTGGATGCGGCCACCACCCCAAGTCCACTGGCAGAACAAGATGCCACTACAAACGACAACAGAACTAGATTTGCACAAGTGGTTTGAAGTGCTTCCTTGGAGATGGCAGAGCAATGCGTAATTAAATGGAATTGCTCATTCATCAGCCAAGAAATATTTATGGAGTGCCTACCTACTGTGTGCTGAGCACATTCAGCCAAGGCTCAAAAATGGAGGAGGAAGAGGAGGAAGCAAATGTTCCCATCAAAATCATTACTAGTGATTTGCATTCTTCATTGTGAGGTTATGTCAAATGAAAAGACATTTATAACGATGCCACATCTCTCTGTAGTATACTGTTATGATATTTCAACAGGCCAGGCAGATGAGCCTCTGCTTTGCAGTGGGAGTGCATTGCAAATACTCATGTACGCAGTGCCTAATTTTGATGAAACTGGATGATTTGTGACACATTCGGCTACATTCAAATACAAGTGTAGAAATTAGAAGACCCCAAGACTGCTTATTCATTCACTTGAACTTACCAAGTGCCCCTGCCGTGGCTTCTGAAAATACCATGGTGAACGAAGACATCCCTGTGTCATGATTGACTTCATGTCCCTCACTGAACAAACTGACAGACAAGATCATTATGGAGTAAAGGCTGAGTGACATTTCCCAAGCCTGGGATGTAGCTGTCTGGGAGGAAATGGCCAGAGACATCCCAAGAAGGCAACACTGGTGTTGAGACCTGAGAACTGAAAATCTGCCAGTATGGGCAGGGCCAAGAGAGAGGACAGGAGGCTTGGAACAGCGGTCACAAGACTCCATGACTCTGAAGGAGGCTGTGTGGTGCTGAAAGGAAGGCAGCTAACTATGCAGAGCCTTCTGAGGGGACAGTGACTCCAGGTGAAGCGGTGAAGATGGACTGAGTAGGGTTCCTGAATGACCCTGTAGTTGGGGAAGGAGATGATTTTCATCTGGTCACCATGTTAAGTAAGTGCAAAGAGCTCTGGGACCTCGACCATCGCCTCAGGATACTGTGCAGGGACTGGGTTCCGGCACCAGTGCTACTGAGGAGAGCAGGCGCGCTAGTGGGACCATCTAAGTCAGCAAAGGGCAGGGGTTAGCATAGTCTAGATGGTAATCTTAGGAATGAGAGGCCTAGGGGTGTCCTTGTGGGAATTCATTCATCCAGTGGTTTGTGGGGGACCTGTCTTAGGGTGTGGCTTCTGTGATGTCCTGTAAGGAAGAGGAGGGGTCTCTCTCACTCTCTTGTGTGGTGGTCAGAGATCTGATTTCAGCTTCCATTGACTCCAGGGCAGAATGGAAGAGCACGATGGCTTGTTGTTATTCGTGAGTGTTCCCAGTAAATATTTTATATCCCTTTATTCAGGCTCTTGTGGACTCACATACCATCGGTTACAGGTTGTCTTATAGGAAGAGTGGACAGGGCCTCGTCCCACCCAGCCTTCCTCTCGGAATCTCCAGTCTCACGAGTTACACTCAGTCTTCCCATCTCCGTCTGGAGGTTTATGTCAATTTCAAACTTTGCCCAAGCTGGATCTTTGATCCGACATTCACAGGCCCACTATTTCCGGGTTCCTTTCTCCCAAAAGCCCTATCTAACGACTCTCCTGTCTCTGTGCCCGCATCCAACCATATCAACTCTTGCTCGTCCCCACTTGATGAGTGCTTTGCCTGTGTGTGTGTCTATGAGCCGCAAAGAGGGCATCAGGGCCCCTAGAACTGGAGACACGGGCAGTTGTGAACAACCACATGGGTTCTGAGAATCAATCCCAGGTCTTCCGAGAGAGCAGGGGGTGCTGTTTTTTATTAATTTATATTTTACATTCTAATCCCAGTTCCCTCTCCCTCCTCTCCTTATGCTCCCCCAACCCCTCCCATCTGTTCCTCAGAGAAGGTAAGGCCTCCCCTAGGAAGTCTACTGAGCCTGTAGTAGTGGGGTGATGTTAACTTTTGAGCCACCACACCAAGCTCCCTCTTGAGAGTACATCTGGAATTCAACTACTTTTCACCAGATTTGCTTCCCCTCCCAAAGCTAAGCAGCCATTTGGGTGGCTGTGATCACCCCTTTGGACTGTTTCCGTACCCTCCGAAGCGGTTGCCTTTCTTCTGCTCCTGGTAAAAAGTCTGAACTGGGGCAGGTCCAGAGAGGAGGATTAAGGGTGAAGGCAGCAAGAATAAGACTCTGGGGCTCAGGCTTAGAGGAGGGAGAGGAGGAGGAGGCCTGTAATGGGGACCAAAATAAAAAAGCACCCACTTCAAATGGCTCTCAGTCAAGTTGGGGACCCAAGCTAAGACGTGTGCTGTCAGTCACAGGAATCACAGTCCTGTCCCAGGACCTTGGCACATGTTCTTCTCTCCTCTCTAAATACCTGCTGGGGATGGCTTCTGTCTCCCTTCATCCAGGCCACTATACAAGTCAACCACCACAGAGAGGCCCTCCCTGCTGCTGGAATGAAGGCTATTTCATGCTTCATCATCATCATCGTCATCATCGTTTTTTTAGAATTTGTAGACCCCTGAGAGCACACAGTTTCTTGAGTGCTCGTCTGCCATCCCCTCCTGTAAGGTAAAAACTCTGTGAATAGGGCCTTGGTTTTGTCACTGCTGTGCCCCCAATACCTGAACCAGTACCTGGCGTGTGGTAGCTAAGTCCCAATGAACACTGAAAGACTAAACAAAGGCGAAGCTGTGGAGTAAAGAGGGTGGGCACTTCCCCAAGGGAACCTTCAGCACTGCCAGAGAAGCGAAAACAGTTGCACTCCAAAAGAGACTCCTGTGTCCGGGGGCTAGAGGGGGCTTCCCGGTTTTAGAAGAGCCAGCTAAGAAAGCTTCCAGAAGTTAGTGGGAAAGACACCTTGCTTAGATCTCTGGCAGCCAGGAGAGAAGACAAGGCAGTACTACCCGTCAAGGAAAACTTCTAGCCAGAGCCCCAAAAGGCATGAGCATCCCGGGAGTGGGAGACAGAACTCCAGTGAGGTGGCTGCCTCCTTCTGCTCCTATGCTCCCCAGTGACCCTGCTGGGAAGAGACACATCTAAGTCTCCCGGGGAACATAGCCTGGAGACTCCAAGGCCCCCTGCTGGGGCTCAGTGCCCCCAGCAAAGTCTGAGAAGCCTGCTGTTATGCAATGCAAGCAGGTGCTGGAGACAGAAGCAAGCTCTCTTGCTGGCACAGCCACGCACCTCCCCTGCCATTACCACACTCTCCTCCCTTTGGATTCTCAACCACGACCACAGTTGCTGCTGGACACTGTCGCTATCCCTGGATATGAAGTGGAAGCAGACTTGGGAAGAGGTCACCTCCACAAAGTTATGCAGACTGCACTGTTGGTGAGGTCCTCAGGCCAGGTCGCCGCCACCATGACACTTAAGAAAGGCACTTCCTGGGGCTCAAAACAAGAGGACACAAACTTGCAGCAAATTGGTGTTCGTCTTAGGTGTAGAAGCAGATCAACCCAGACCCGTGTGGCTCTCTAGACACAGCAGGAATCCAGCTGGGTAAGTTAAATGGAGCCTCTCTCCCTTCCTTCTTCCCTCTGTCCTCCCTGGGTTTGAGTAGAATGGCTTGAAGTTTTAATGATGATCTCCCAACCACCGCATAGACTGCGCTGGGTTCCTAAGCTTCCTGCGGAAGATGGGCAAGACCAGAGGCTCTCTGGGGCGTTCCCAGATCCGGAATGAGCCAAATATCACTGCCACCAAGTCATTTGTCCACTTAGACCTTCCAAGTCTCACTGTCTCTTGAGCACGTAGTCTTTGGCTCAGCTTCTAAGGGTGTGTCACCATTTCGCGGCTTCTTCTCTGGAGGTTTCTTTGCCCTGTTGCCTTGTGACTCTCTACAAATTCCCCGCAATCTGATTTCTAACTCCTATTCTGTGCCGGGTTTCCCCACAAATCAAAAGACAGTGAGGTCCAAGGTCAGCTCTGAAGTGAGCGCTGTGGCCAGCTTCCCGGAGGTTGGAGTAGGCACTGGAGAGGCTGCATCGGATAGCCAAGTGCAAACGCGGGCGGCCAGTGTCTGCCCCCCTCCCTGCCCCAGCGCAGAGCCACGGGAGGGGGCACTCCCTGGCCCCGGTGGCTACCCTGGGGACCCCAAGCTCCGCCCTGCTGCACTCCTATTGGTTTGGGGCGCCCCCGCCCCCAGTCTCCCTTTCCAGCTCCCGGGCTTTTTAGGCTACCCTGGATAAATAGTCCAGGACGCCTGGCGCGAAGCTAGGGGCGAGAAAGTCCCAGGACGATCGCTTTCTTCGCCACAACTCCGACAGAACAGGGAGGGGAGGCAGAGGACAGTCGGTGTGCAGTCCAAGCCTCAGCACTTTGCCATCGTACTGTCGGAATTCAGGAGTGGCAGAAAGTGACTCTTGAGGCTTGAGTTGAGCGAGAGACAGGACCGAGAAGCCCAGGAGCTGGGATATGGAGTTACTGTCGCCGCCACTCCGGGACGTAGACTTGACAGGTCCCGACGGCTCTCTCTGCTCCTTTGCCACAGCCGATGACTTCTATGATGACCCGTGTTTCGACTCACCGGACCTGCGCTTTTTCGAGGACCTGGACCCGCGCCTGGTGCACGTGGGAACCCTCCTGAAACCGGAGGAGCACACACACTTCTCTACCACGGTGCACCCAGGCTCAGGTGCTCGCGAGGATGAGCATGTGCGCGCGCCCAGCGGCCACCACCAGGCTGGCCGCTGCTTGCTGTGGGCCTGCAAGGCATGCAAGCGCAAGACCACCAACGCTGATCGCCGCAAGGCTGCCACTATGCGCGAGCGGCGCCGCCTGAGCAAAGTGAACGAGGCCTTCGAGACGCTCAAACGCTGCACGTCCAGCAACCCGAACCAACGGCTGCCCAAAGTGGAGATCCTTCGCAATGCCATCCGCTACATTGAAGGCCTGCAGGCTCTGCTGCGCGACCAGGACGCAGCACCCCCTGGCGCCGCTGCTTTCTACTCGCCCGGCCCGCTGCCCCCAGGCCGAGGCAGCGAGCACTACAGCGGCGACTCGGACGCTTCCAGCCCACGCTCCAACTGCTCAGACGGCATGGTAAGGCCAGACCGGGACTCAGAAGGAGGCCAAGCTCAAGCGGCACCTGGGGAATCTGCAATGCATTTGGGTCTCTTAGGGTCGGGAAAGTCCTTTAGACCCCGGTGTCACTGGGGTCTCTGGAGACCCTGGGCATCTGCGATTTGCCCAGTGGGGGTGTCATCAAAACACTGCTGCGCAGACCCCAGGCCATACATTTCCTTCTCAAATCCTCATTACCCAAATGCAGACTTTTTTGTTCCTGGATCACCATCCAGTTTCAGTTTGGCCCTATATGTGACAGATTTCAAAGTATGCTGGCTTCTACCTCCTAACTATGGCGGACCCAAGTCCTGAAACGCCCCCAGCTGGGACTAGGGGAGCGAGGGAGGGGCGGTGACAAGGAATAGTGCTTGAGACGCCCCGCTCCGAGGGTCTGACTAGGTTGTTCTTGCTATTCGCAGATGGATTACAGCGGCCCCCCGAGCGGCCCCCGGCGGCAGAATGGCTATGATGCCACCTACTACAGCGAGGCCTCCAGCGGTGCGTATTCCCAGCTGTTCCCAGTTAGCAGGCCTTCAATGGCCTTCCGTGTCCCCCTTGAAGCTGTCCTTGCTCCCCAGGCTTAGTACCCCCTCCCTGCCTCCATCCCATACACACCTGTATCAGGGACTGGCGAGGGGTTAAACAGCGTGCACTTTCCTCTTCTCCTTACAGTCTGGCAAGTCCTCAGTTTCTCTTCTGCTCCAAAGTTCTGTGTTCTGATGGGGGCGGGGGGGGCGTGTAAGAGACTTGAAGAGACTCAAGCTTGGGTTACTAACCTTCCCCTCCTCTTGCAGAGTCCAGGCCAGGGAAGAGTGCAGCGGTGTCGAGCCTCGACTGCCTATCCAGCATCGTGGAGCGCATCTCCACGGACAGCCCTGCCGCACCTGCGCTGCTGCTGGCAGACTCATCTCCAGAATCTCCTCCAGGACCTCCAGAGGGGACATCCCCAAGCGACACAGAACAGGGGGCCCAAACCCCGTCTCCTGACGCCACCCCGCAGTGCCCTGTAGGCATGAACCCCAATCCAATCTATCAGGTGCTTTGAGAGGTCTGCTGCCGCGGGAGAGGGAGTACCGCCTACACTCCCGGGAGTCCTGCACACCCAAAAGATGAAGCTTAAATGACACTCCTCCCAACTGTCCTTTCAAAGCCACACATCCAAAGGCTGGAAAGGGGGGGAGCAGAAATCTGTCCCCACATCGGTCCCCAAGGAAAAGACGCAGTCCGTTTGTTGTCATTGTTTTGTTTATTTTGCTTTTTCATGCGACTCACAGAAGACAGCCACTTGCTGCCCCTAACGGCCAGGCTTCCTTCCTTTTCCTCAAAGCTCCTGGCGCAGGGGTGAGTCCCATACACCTAGGCCCTGTCCTCCACATCCCTGTTGTTTGTGGAGACAGGATCCCCATTTTCCAGAGGCCCCCAACACGTGCTCTTTCCCACAGCCTGCGGAGGCCGCTCTGTTGCGGTAACAGGTGTAACCATACCCCACCTTCCCCCGTCCCATGCGCGGTTCAGGACCACTTATTTTTTTTATATAAGACTTTTGTAATCTATTTGTGTAAATAAGAGTTGCTTGGCCAGAGTCAGAGCCCCCTGGGCTGTATTTATCTCTGCGGCATGCTGTGTTGTGAAACAAGAATTTTGTATGTTTATTCCTCTGGTGGGCGAGCCTCAGGGCTCACTCGCTCAGGTGTTGGAAATAAAGAAGCTAATTTATATATCAGTGACTCTGACTTTTCCTAGGCAAACCAAAAGGGATCCGGTTGGGGAAGGGGGGGGCGGGAAACACTCCACATTCTGGGCAAGCTATCTCACAGCGACCCCTGTAGGCAATATAAGGGTAGCAAGGAGGCTAGATGGTGGGGATGATGTCAGATAATGAAGGAGGGCTAGGTTCTAAGCTGTAGGGACCTTCCCCATGCCTTGTCTGCCTCATCCAAGGAAATCAGTGGTTTTAGTGAAACGGTGCACATAATGTTAGCTTAAATATAAAAAAGCCAGATATGGTGACTCGTCTCTGTAATCTCAGCACTGGGGAGGCTGAGGCAGGGGGATGGGTGCAGGCCTGGCTATAAAGTGGAGACCCTGCCTCAAAACAAACAACCTCTTTAAAACAAAAATTAGAAATTTACTCGGAGGAGTCAGCTCAGTCAGTAGAGCACTTGCCTAGCATGCATAAAACTCTGGGTTCAATCCCTAGGACCTGACTTGGAGTGAGCAGCTATAATTTCAACACCCCAGATGTGGCACAGAAACATCAGAAGTTCAATGTCATCCTCAGCCACACAGCAAGTTCCAGGCCAGCCCAGGATACACATAACCCTGCCAATAGATTAATTAGCTGATTGATTGATTGATTGATTGATTGATTTAAAATCTAGCGTGACTCTGCTCACGTCCAGTTATTGTTGTTTTCTAAAATCTCCTGAAGTGTTGCCAGGTTGGTAAACGTTCTCCTTCACAGAGTGTCTAGGATGCTTTGTGGGAGCTTGTGGTCCTGGAACCACTCATCGCCCCCCAAGTGTGGAGGGGGTGGGACGCTCCGGTGCAAGAAGAGAGAGCTAAGGGGCCCTGGAGATGCTCTGTATGCCATGCGGGACATGCAGGCTAAGGGGCCCTGGAGATGCTCTGTATGCCATGCGGGACATGCAGGCTCTTAATGATGATGCGACCATGAGGAGACAGCACAGGCGGCAGCCGACACTCAGAGCATCTTGCCTTGTCTCATAAGAAGGCAGAGGCTCGGACCCTGTGAGGAGAGGGGCACTTGGGGCCAGCGTTTTCTCTATTGCTGTTTGCTTTCATCGGGCGGTGTAGTCTGGGCAGAGGGGAAGCCATTGGTGCAACCAGAGTTCAAGGAGGGCTTCCTGGACAAGGCGCCGTTCCCATGTAGCAGGAGAAACAATAGTAGGTAACACACACACAACAGCAAATTTGTGATCCCCCTCCCCACGGGGACCTCTATCCTCCCCTGGAGCACAAGCTCTCCCTCACTCACCTTGTCCCCAGGGCCTCAGTACCTCCTGCATTCTGTCCTACAGGTCCTTTTCCTAAATTCCCATAGGCCAGGTTCACGACACAGAAAAGATACGTCCTGGAGGGGCCACTCCTCCTGAGAGTGGGCTCTGCTCCCCCAACACCACCCTGGAGGAACCAAAGTTTTTCTGTTGCGGTGATGCTCACTCTTCCCCCTCAGGTCTCCATAGGGTTCCTTATGCTAACTCCCCCAATCCTCCTAGGGACGTCACCATTTTGTCCATTGCACAGATGCCAAGTACTATGCTGAATGGGAAGAGAGTACTGGACACACTCCCTGCCTTTGGAAGGCACGCAGACATTTGGGGTTGGATCTTTCCACAGCTGGTCACACCGTGATCCATAGAAGACAGGCTGTGGGTGAGGGGGGGCAGCCCACAAGGGAGGGAGCAGACTGACACAGCAGACAGGCTCTGGTAAGAGTCCTGAAAGGACAGGAGAGTGCTCAAAGCTGAGGACACAGCAAGAACAAAGCGGGAGAGAGGGGGCAGGCTCATGGAGCCACAGCTGCTCCTGGGCACAGGCTGGGGAGACAGAGGAGGAGGCAGGGCTATATGGGGCTCTGCTGAGAGCATCCCGAGGGTGACGGGGAGCCCCAGGGGGATCAATACGGGAAGAGCAGACATAAATCTGCACTTTAGAAAGGTCTGCTTGGACTGGTAAAAACAGACAGGAGGGAACACAATGAGATGGGAAGACGTTGTGTGACTTTCCTGAGGAGATGTGAAGAAATGTCACCTCATATAGAGAAGGAGCCAACAGCCCAAAGGAAGATTCCATCTCCTCCAGTGTGGCAGATAAAGGAATGTATTTACTTACAGAAGCGGGGGTGCCTTGTGGGGAGATGCACAGTGACGTTCCACCCCCAGAAAAAGGTTCAATTTTCTTTCAAACATTTGTTTATTGTGTGTGTGTGTGTATGTGCGCGCAAGCGCACGTGCGTGCGCAAGTGTGTACACCATGGTGCTCTTCCTGTCCTGCGCTATGACCTGCAGAGGAAGCCAGAAGAGAGCTGAGAGGCTGGATGCTGGTTCACAACTGGAAATTGGGTCCCTTGTTGTCTGTCCCTTGCCTCAGTCACCTCAGAAGCACCTACTGACGACCCTATTTCCGGTGCAGGTGAAACACCCCTTGCTTCTGGGGCCATTTGCAGATGGCTGCATCTAAAGAATCCTCACAGCCATGCTGTCCAGTGTGTATGCATACACCCACATGTGTGTGTTCACATGATAGCTGTCTTAGTCACTTCACTATTGCTGTGAAGAGACATCTCACTAGGGCATCTTACAGAAGGAAGAGTGTATTGGAGGCTCACCGTTCCAGAGGATTAGAGTCCATGACAATCAGTGTGGCAGGCTGGCAGGTGTGGCGTGGGAGCAGGAGCTGAGAACTTAAAACCTTATCCACAAGAGAGGGGGAGGGAAGGAGGGAGGGCGGGGGAGGGAGAGAGGGGAGGGGGAAGGGGGGAAAGCCTTAAAGCTCGCCCCAGCAACACATCTCCATCAATAAGGCCACACTGCCTAATCCTTCCTACATAGTTGCACCAACTGGGGACCAAGTTTTCAAATAAATGGCCTCTCTGGACTTTCAAACTACCCCAGCAGCATACACACACTTAAAATGTGCATCCAGCTAACGTACCATGACATCAAGAAAGATGAGTTAAGAGAGATTAAGGCTTCAGGTCCCCTCTCACGCATGAGCCTTTTCCAGCACATTGGGAAGAAGCCTAAATGGTCTAGGCTGTTTCTTAATTTTCAGAATAAATTGCATTAAGTAATCTGTTACGATCATTTCATCTTTCTGCTCTGGCTTACTCCTATGTTTAGTGACATTTATGGGCATATTAAAGTACTACCTAAATAAATAAATCTCATCTGGGCTGGGTGGAATATGCTTTAAATAAATGGAATATAAAACAGAAGCAATAGCATTGAATGGTGAAATAAATTGAAATTACTCTGACATTGTGAAGACGACTGTATCTAAAATATATGTTTGGAGCATTGTAGTTTGAATGTGAAATGTTCCCTATAGGCTTATGCTCCTGAACACTGGTTGTGAAACCTCTAGAAGGCGGAGCCTGGCTGGAGGAAGTGGGTCTCTGGCGGCAGAGGTGGAGGGGTGGCGTGGACCTGTCGCTTCTTTGGTTGACCTCACTTCCTGTTCACCTCCTGCTTCCCTACGGACGCGGATGCAGTGTGACCAGCTGCCTCCTGTCCCTGCTTGCCATGCCTTCTCTGCCCTACAGTGTCCCCTCAGGCTGTAAACCAGCAAGCCCTCCTCAAGGCGCCTCTGGTTAGGAATCTGGTCACAGCAGTGAGAACAGAAGAAAGACACAGGGCTGGGTACCTCGGCGTGAAGCCCTCGTGTGTACGCCGCCCTGAGCTCGATGCCCAGCATGGAAAGAAAGAAGTGGGGGTGCAGAAAAGGAAAAAAAATGTCTTCAGTGGAGCTGTGTAATCTTGAGCTGATTGTTAACCCAGTTAAGGAAGAAAGGCAAATTATATGAACGTATGAGGAGAATAGTTTTTGCTGGACTGACATAAACTACTTACATCAACAAGACAACTAAGATGCCACTATAGCAAGACCTCAACAACATCAACAAAGTGTTTATGAGGATTATCAGTCAGGCACTATTTAAAATTATTGCCCCATGAGAAATTCAAAATTCTTTGAATCCCCACAGCTCATGGAGGAAAGAAACTTGAGACTTCTCCAGATGTGATACCAGTCCTGAAAGTGTACTTGATGCTTTCAATATAGCTGCGGGCTTGACAGGAACATCCCAAAGTTATCAGTGGTGCAAAGCAAGGTCAACTAGGTTGAACGATCACTGTGCTCTCGGCACGGAACACAATGGAAGGAAAACGTTGTCAGTAGCATCTCTTGGAGAGTGAAAGAGTAGGCAGCAAGTCTAGAAGGAAGAGAACAAAGGGGACGGGAGAGGAACAGGAGAGGATGATGGGTAGTGACCCTTGGCTATTTAGTTTTTGTCTCTCACATTTGAACAGCCTGCATACAAGTCATTACTACCTTAGAGGTTTACATCCCAAGGCTGGGAGGATGGCTCCGTCAGCAGGGTGCTTGCCTTCTCTCCTGAGGACCTGAGTTCCATCCCCGGCATTCACAGAGATGTGCCTCCTAACCCGGGCTCTGTGGGGCCAGAGACAGGAAGGTCCCTGGACTTACTGGTCCCTTCACTGATTAGCAAACCCGGGATTAGGGAGAAAGCCCCAACACAAAAACATAAAGTGTGGGGGTGTGCATGCATATGGAGCCAGAAGTCTGTGCCCAGCATCTTCCTCAGGCACCTTACTGAACTCACATTTGGACTTGAGACTTCTCTTTGTGAGAGAGTTAATGATTTTACATTGGAACCTGTAAGATGGCTCAGTGGTCTGACCACCTCAGTTTCATCCCTAGAACCCACACGGTAGAAGAGAATAGACTCCCACACGCTGTCCTCTAACGTTCACATGTGTGTCATGGCATACATGCACACACACACACACACACAGGCATATGCACATACATGCACACACATAAATATATTTAATGAATATTTTGAGAAAGGTATGTCCATGTCCTGAAATTCAACTGAAGCGTTTCAGAAAGAGAAAGACAAATACAACAAACTCGAACTTTTACAGATAAACAACAAGCTACCATGCAACTT